TTGAGATTTGGACCAATTTTTTTGTTTAATATATTGCTTGGGCCTTTCCATTATTCATGGAATATACATACATACATACATACATGTGAAAGAATAATCTCACGGTTACCTTCAGTGCATGTGAGATAAAGCTCATATTTGGCATATGTATATGTTTCATTAGATTAAGCCTTGTTGTGCATATAATTTGAAGAAATATCGTCATTTATTATTAAAATAAGTGAAAACATTACAGTAGGATAAGGCCAACTATTTAGTAACCTACATCACTGCGCTCAATGCCGTTATTCATATACCGAGTTTTCAAAATAAGCCGTTATATGGGCATTGGTCGGCAAAGTGATGCGATCCAAGCCATTTCCAACAGTGTTCGTCCTTGGGTGTAAAATATCTCAAAAACAGCGGCCTCTAGGTTGCACATAAGAATATAAGATGGACAGGCAGACAGACAAGCTTATATACGGAATACTTTTTAAATCGATCGGTGTCATAAAAAGTGGATCTCGCTCAAACCTTTCCTTGGGTGTTGTTGCATACATCTGCACAAAATTAATATGCCCTTGTACAAGAAGTGCTGTAGCATGTAACAAAATAGCTTAATTCAGTTGTAATCTATATAGTTGAACTTAAAAAAAAAAAAAAAAAAAAAGTAAAAATAAATAAATAAACTTTTCGTTTTGCTCAGATTGTTTACAACATTGGAGGCTTATGGAATTTGTAGAATTAAAACCCTTTCTGAAGCTTAAATTTAAGCGGAGCCTATTATTATTAAGTTTTATTATATCAGTATTTTTGCGAAATTGAACAAAGTGGGCGCACAACGAAAAGGATGCAAAAGGATTAAAATCTCACACTTATTAGTATGTAAATGATTTTATAATAAGTTAAAAGTTAATTCGTTATGTATTAAAATAAATGCTTTGGTTCGAGGTGAAGGTGTTTGCGGGCGGCGCACACTTAATTGCAAACTTCACCTATGGCCAAAGACAAAAACGTTCTGCGTTAATCAAGAATGCATTTTTTGCATACTACATAAAATGGAGTAACAAATTCATAATACATTCATTGTATGACGATCGTTATAAAAGTACGTCTATCTAGTTTGGCAAACAGATAAATGGTAGCTTGAAGAGTAAATTAGAAAACTGCAAATTTCTATAGCTCTCCTAAAAAATCTTCCTCTCTTTCTCGCTACTGCAAGTTAACATATAATGAACATCGGTTCATTAATTTGCGAGACTTGCACGAAATTATTGAGTAATCGCAGCCATGACTTTGGTACGCTTGCCATTAATTACCGATTTTCTTATAATTACCTTAAGTAATGCACATTTACTCAGAATATTCATCGGTAATTCCAGTTCGAAAGCCTAGAAGTGGTAGAAGTCAGCATTATGTTAGTTCACTGAAGTTCACTTTTCGCTTTAGCTCGATTAAAATAATTATTTAGATGAGTTTTGCTTTTAGGTTTTTTGCAGTAAAACAAACATCGAGTCTAAAATATAAAGATTGGGAGTGAAATCGTTCAAAATGCGAAATGAAACACATGATATGAAGAAATTTTTTCTAGCTGTCAATGAGCATAGTTTTCTAAATATTGAAATGTTGACAAAACCAAAAGGAATCGTCGTTCATACTTCAGGCAAATTATTAGGAAATTAATTTGTCTAACTTTTTTTTTTTTTTTTTTTGGGAGAAAGATTTCTGAAGATACGCTGGTATATAGGCGAGAAGTACGGTTAAAGAATGAGTGACGTAGAGTAAACGGATGACCACGAGATAAATGGATGAGAAAGCTGCACTGGGTAGTATTACTGAAGAATACGATTGATGGACAGATCTCTGCACCACTGTGGAACGCTTGCTGTGAAAATATCTATACTTAAATGCATCGTAACTCAAATTAAAACTATGTTCAGTATTGTCTGAAGAAATGCATAACCAAGTCCAAAACACGTTGAACGTAGAAGGTGTAAATAGTGCGGATATCGGCTTTCATTAAGTACTTCTCGTACTGCTTCCGATACATCGAGCACATGTTCTACCTAAAACTAGTAGCTTTTTATTCTCAAGCGCTGTCGATTTTTCCACATCGACACCATTAAAAGGAAAAGCTGTTTATCGTGCAATGGGGGACAGCACAGTGTATAGTTGGCATTCAACTTGACCGGTATTTACCCGAACCTCGCTCTTTGATACTTTGATGGACAATATATCGCTGATAAGGAATCAACCTTCATTCATTGTTGGTGTGCAAGATATAATGGTTCGACCGCCAATGGTGGCGATACCGCACATGGCCGATCTGGGTCCTTCTCAATTTTTCTTGCTTCCTTGCTTCTCACTGTATCTTGAAAGGCCATCAGGATTGAGTAGTGCTTTAAGAGAGCAAGCCAAATCGCTAGGGGGGATTCTTATAGGATTCTCTTGAATGAATATTGATAAAAAGCTAAAATAATAAACAGTTTAAATGGGGCAGATATGATGAAGGATACCACCACCAACACTTTAAGAAGTAAATAAAAATGCTGCTCTAATTTTGACAGATCTGCCGGTACTCCTCTCTGTCAGAATGCATTTAGGGTCAAATAACTTTTACACACATTCTTGGTGGCTACAAACGAAGTTCATGAAATTGAAATATTTTGAGGAAGGGGGGTCGGTCAGGGAGGTATGTAAAAATAAAATCTGATAAAATGTAATAAATTTGAAGCTTTAAAGCTTTAGTTAGTTTTTATGAATTATTAAAATCTAAACACATGCGTACATACACACATAATTAAGAGTGTAAAATACATGTCACACTGTATTAAAGTTTTTCATTTTCATTTTCATTTTTATTTTATTTAGTTTTTGTTTTTAAAAACTATATAAAACTAAAACAGAAACAATAAATTCGCCATAAAAAATAGTAAGAAAAAGAGAAAAACTACAAAATAAAAGTAACTGGTGACGCGTATGGGAAAATAGAATAAGTATATAAAGCTAATACTAACATAATATATACACACACAACATGAATAAATTATACTCACACATATGCAACGCTGCAGCAATATAACAGAGTGTAAAGTTAATATAGAGCAAATAGTAGAAGCAACGATAAAATATTACGAACTATGAGAACAATAGCACTACAACTATCAATACATAGATGCACACATCCATCTAAATATACTATGAGTACTAGCGTAATAATATGAGCAGTACGAGCGCGAACACATTGAAAGGCAAATAATAGAAAATGCTGCATACAATATAAGCCATAGTGACAATCTAACAGACAAACTGACTATTTGTCATTAAATAATAGTTTGCTGCTCATAAGTTCAGGTTGAAAAGTTTCCCTGTTATTCTTTTTTGTTTTTATGTCTTATTTTTATTTCATAATATCGAAGAACTTTGTGAAAAGAGCAGTAAATAAACCGAGGAGGTTCACTCTATGAATGCGAACAACGGCTTAAATGAAAAAAGAACATAAAAATGAAAAACATAAGAACAGCTGCTTGGAAATTTGCAAAAAAAATAACCAAAAAATAAAAAAAAATAAAAAAATAACACCTAATGAACATACACACCTTAAAAATTGTGAAGCGTAAGAGTAACGTAAAAAAAAAAAAAAAATACACAAAATATAAAACTAAACAAAATATAGAAGCAACGAACTTTAAGGTCACTCCAGAGTATTTACAAAACACAAACACTGCATGCACGTACCAATACAAGCGCTGCATTCATATCATATATATGCATGTGTGTATGCGCTTACAGAAATTGTAGCGCTGCAACAGTGTTTCGCTGCTAATGGTGAAAATCTTTGATGAAACATTTTACAACGTGTGTGATGATGATGCGTTTAATGTAGCTGGACAAAAAAAAACAAAAAGATGAATATGAAAACCACTCCCTCAAATGTTTGCAATGCCCACAATACCAACCAATCCAGACAACACAACACGTGCAGCCTGAGATGAAAATAATAATCACAACAACAACAACAACAACAACAACAACAACAACAACGATATAAAATGACAATATTTAATAATAAAAAAAAAAAAAGAAAGGAGAGAAAGAAAAAAAGTTGAAAATTTTCGTTTGCTTTTTTGTCTTTCTTGTTATTATTTGAAATAAACTGTGCAGCAGAATATTTTTGTAGCGAAGTCTGCACAAGTCTTGGAAACGGAAATTGATATGAAAGAAAGAAAACTACATACGTTCCAATTGGAAATTGTAATATGCTTGTGCATGAGCGCGCATGCATACGGGTATGTGTATGAATTGGAATTTAAGGGTTGGGCTGCTAGCAGCTGTGATTGTCTGATTTGAACCGCAGACGTGTGCACAGCCACACACAATCAGCCAAACCAACCAGCCGAACGGTCGGGTAACCACTCTCATACAATTCTCCATTAAATACACCCTTAAAATGAGCTGCAAAGATTTGACGCTTCGACTACGCCAACAATGACCACCACTTCGTGTGGCACTTGCTCTCACCACACAATTCAGTTGAAATCGCATCGTGATAACGTTTTACTTACTAACAGTACCGACGGCGAATATACGAAACACTGTTGATGTCTGCAACAGTAATTAAAATAAAATCAACAAACAAAAAAAAAAAAGAAGAAAAAAAAGAAAACAAAGCTAAAAGGAATAATGATAAATAACGTGTAACGTGTAACAAGCGCGTATACAATTTGTCGAATAAATTAACAAAAACAAGAAGAACAATTTTTGCCTTGTCTCGGCATTTTCTACGTAAGACAAGGTCGTATGCATATCTAAAACTAATTATTATTGTTTTATGCGACGGGACTTTTTTTCTTTTGTTTTTTTTTTTGCTTTTAAAGCTTTTCCTCTGTGACGCGTTAACTAGGCTTCGGTTTAAGGGGTTCTTGGGAATAAAAACCAAAAAAAATAAATAAATAAATAAATAAAAATAAAGAAAAGTTCTTTTTAAAAATTATTCTATTGCAGTGAAATGTAGAGAACAATAAAAATAAAAAATAAAAAAAAAGATGCAAAAATGTTATAAATAAAAAAATAAGGAGTACTACACATAACACCCTATACTACATCTAAGTTGCAATTGAAGAAATTTTGTTAATGAAATTTGGTAACTGCAATAAATTATCCACATGCAGTATGGAACTTTTGAAATTAATGATGTTCAAAAGTGACTTTCTTAACAATGATAAATGTGATGATCGTATTGCGCCAATTAATTTAAGTCAATTGCCGGAATTTCTATTGTGTAAGTGTTTTATTGTGATCGCCTAGTGTATGCATAAAATAGAAACATTAAATAAATAAATAATTATATTTTGTCATTGAAATATTCAATCTCCAAGAAGCGATTCAAATAATTATGTTTTTTGTACTTTTGTACTGTGTGCTATCGGAAAACTCGGGAGCACGCTGTACTAAGGAGTAGGAAAACGAATAAATGCCACTAGAGAATATTTATCGCACAAATAGCAAAGCGTATTGTTTGTTAATCGTGTCAGATAATCAAACGCCCCCCAACCCCCCACCAAACGCTTTCTTTGCCTGGCAAGATCAATATCTCCTAAGCATAATAAAACAATTTTCCCTTTGGATAGTTCAGGCTTTGTTTACGGCCAACACCTAAAAGTATATTTTATAAATGCAAGAATATATGATAAGGTTCAGATTTCTAGCTCGATTTTAATGATCAGGAACGTGCCAGTGACAGTGTTGCTTAGGAATAGTGTTGTCGTGTTAAACAGATTCTATACTAAGTAATAAAAAATCTTTGCCCGGATTGGGGTTAATGCCTATACATTATCCAAAACGCACCTGATTGTCTTAAACGAGCATGTGCTTAACCGATGACATTTCAGCTTATATTCTTTGTGGGAATAGTTTTCCAATTCTTTGTTCACGTAAAAATTTATATTGAGTTGAAAATGGGTAAAATATCTGAAGGCATAAGCTAAGTGATGGCTTTTTACTATGACAAAGGTAAAACATGACGAAAAATATGTGAAGTGTACGGGGAGAATGCTATCGGCAAAGATGCACCTTGCTCCGGTCGCAAAAGTCGATGAAAGTTTGCAACTAGTGGAGCAAGATCTGTCAGGAAAAGAAAAGGCACTAAACATCAAGCACATGGAATCATTTGAAAAGAGCAGACTACTCAAAAAAGATCTCGAATCCGCGGAAAAAAACGCTAAAGACTTTTTATATGACCCTTTATACATATATGGACATGTATATATATGCATATAACTCTAGCATGAAGCATGAGCTTAATGCTCATAGAAAGATATTAAAGGATCGGCTGGCTTGCAGCACATTTATACTTCAGCCAGATCGTATACAGTATGGTATAAACTTTAAAGATAATACCTTAACTTTAATTCGTGTACGTTAATGAGCTTCAAAATCTCATTTGATCTTTGAACTTGAATTTTTTTGATTATTTCACATTGCATATTTACGATATATTTTTATCGTTTGTTTTAAATTAACAATCAACGCTAAGAAAAAAATATATTTTTTTAAATTTGAAATTGTGTCATGATGTTAAAATGAACCCCTTTTTAATTAATTAAACAACAAATCCTGCCACAATGTGCCTCACAGGCACGCAGCCAATAAATAATCTGACGGGAAGTCAGCTATCAAATCGAAATCTGAAAAAGAAATGCTTGGAGGAACTAAATCAAAGTTTGTTATATAAAATTAAAAAGAAAACATTGGGCCGATATAGTCTTAATCGCTAGTGATCATCCTACTTTTAGTCCTAGAATTTATTTCATTGGTCTAAACAAATCATAATAATAAAAGTTCAAGTACTTTCAAAAGATAAGGAAACCTTTATTTATCGATGCAAGTTTTTCATGGGAGTGGCCACAGCGCAATATTACTCAGTGCAATTTAGCATTGCTTACCTTATCTGCTCAAAACTGCTTAAAACTAAATCTTTTTTTCCATATTTGAAAAAAGTTGTAGAAAATACTTATTTATTGTACGTGTGTGTAAGAGGATAGTGTACTTCGATACATTTGCATACTCTATCCTGATAGGTAAAGTCTCTTTTTGGTTCTGCTTTTAAGTTAAGGAACGCAGAGCGGACGCAGAATGACATGGTTTATGGTAAGCGTCAAAATTAATTTCACATTTTTTGCAAAGAGGACAAACTTCTATTGAGAATCAGGAGATAGTGCGAATAAACACATTCATGGAGGACACGATTTCAATAATTTTCATCAATAATTTTTTGCTCAAAAAAGTGGATTTTTCAAGCATAGTCACAGTGCCATTTTACGGACAAATAGAACGCTTGATCTCTTGATAATTAACATAACGAATAGTTTTAAAAGTGCAATTAGAGATATGCCCACTAATCCAATTTCGGTGCTGAAACTGTACGATAATTGCGTGAGCAGTGAAAGCATTTCAGGTTGAAGGTAAATCGAAACTTCCATTAAAATTCCTCATATTTGGAACTTTAAACGTTTTTTGTCTTGGAATTGTACTTTTCAAACTGGCCCTCATTTGTCCACTCACTGATTTAAAAATTCTACTATAAAATTATTTGTTTCCCGGGGTTTGACTAATTTTGCATAATACAACATTTTTATTTTTATGCTACAACGGTATGATAAGTTTGTGCAAATGTATAAAACTCTCAGAAAGACCCCTGAGCTAAGCTTGTCTGTCCATCCGTCTGTCTTGTTTACTTTTGTATAACTTATAGGTCCCAATTTCCGAGGTATTTTCATGAAATATGTTATAATAACTTGTTTTAGCCCAAGACCAATACTATTAAAAATAGTACGGGTTGGAACAGACCTAAGACATGGCCTCTCATTTTGAAAAGTCGTCATATCAATGTTAGCTGTGTTAAGCAAAGTGGATAGGCCATATTACACTATAGTGTATTTACTTGTTTTAATTCAATATTTTCACAAGCTATGTAGTTTTCGAATGAGATTTTAACAAATTTTTTTTCGAATTCTTTGCTTTATACAGAAAACTACTTCCTGTAGAAACATGCTGCAAAGGCGATCTTACAAAAAAAAAAAAAAAAAAAAAACAAGAGATATTATTACGAAAGCCATTGCATCATCATTTCGTGTCCAAGACATTATGTAAATTATGTCTAAATGTCTCAACAAGTGTACAAATATTTGTAAAATTTTTATTTCGCGTTTTATTCGTGGATAAAAGATGACATTACGAATAGGTTATAAAGGAAGAAAAAACTAAATAAATAAACAAAGTGAATTATTCGTGAATCCAAAAAATAAAAAAAATAAAACCAGAATAAGCTGCTACACTGTCTCAGGGATAATTTGAAAACAAAGCATTGTCGTCTGATTTTCGTCTTTTCTAAACTTTGATGAAATGTGCAAATATAGTGGTCTTTAGTGCATCATTAACAATTCTAATAAGATTACTCTTTTCATCAAAAAAATTCTCATGCTTATAAGAAGGAGAGGGAAAAAGTTTTTGTCCATTCGATTTTTTCGATTTGTCCTCGCAAAGCTATTAACTAATTGATTCAAAGTTTTTTTCCGCAGAATTTTTACATAACCGAGATATGCGTTGCAATCAAGTAATTTTTTCTGTGTGCACTAAATACGTAGGACCAGACGCCTTTGATGTGAAAATGTCGTATCCGTTCTTTGAGTTGCGATTATGTTTGTCAGCATCTTTTACTCTAGAACCGTTTCCTGTGTAATTCGTTTACAACTCTTACTCTAGCCATCGCTTCGCAATATCATGAAGCGTAAAACGACGGTTCATCATATTCTTCCACCACAGGAAGTGGTGGTATCTTTTATTGGTTTTGTTTCTTTTCTAGACCTTTATGGTTTATTTACCAATCTTGAAACAAGACCCTTGTTCTTCTGGAGTTGAGCGCTGGTGTGGTCGATGGTGCATCAACTGCCCTCAACTACCTTTTCTCGAGCTTTTGAATAATCTCAGCCGAACGAAAACTGTTTTGATGAATGTCAGTTAAGAGGGAGTATTTGCGGCAACTATTACGTCACTAATGTTATCGGTTAATTAGCATAACTTTCTTTTCTTTGCTTATTGTGACGAATTTCAAAGTCGATTAGACTCTTTAAGAGCTTTACTACTACTACTCTCTACTGTAAGTTGGTGTTCGTTTGTTTACCGTTGACAAAAGGTATTAAGTTTAGATGCATGTAACCATCAACTAAAAATACATGTGCTAAGTTTCAGTAAGTTCGACAAAGCGCAAAGGCAGCCGTGAAAACTTAAATCGACCTGAACATCTCACGTTCACTGCGAATGTTCTATTTGATGGGCCTATAATGCGCATTGCTGAGCAGTATAAACGAAACAAATTTTCATAGCATCATAGTCGTATTCGCCACAGAAAGCTAAATGTGTACCAACTTTTGCGATGCAGGGTAAGGTTCCTCAGAGGGAAGTCGTATTTTTAATATGAACGTGCCGATCTATTGGAGCGAGGAGAAAGTTGGAGACATTTGGAATTCGCCTTTAAGAACTCTCTGAATAGCCAAAAAATTTCAACAATCTCAGAAAAATTAAATTCATGTATTGATCGTGTAGGGCTGTAGGAATGAATAACTGCCGAGCATGATGAAATTATGGCAATCAAATTTCTATTTATTCCAAGTATTCGAAAGGCAAATGGAAAAATAAGTGTATCCTAACACGACCTTCTTCTCTTTAAGTGAGTGAGCCCACTGAAGAAGTGCTGTTTTGATTTCGAAAAAGAGTGGAATTTTTTAATGGCGACTTGTTACTCAGGGAATGTTCCCTATTCGCGTAACACGGTGGAAGGAGAAAGAAATGGGGAAGTGGAGGCGGCAGCCCGGTGGATGGGTTCTCTGCCCAATCGATAAGTATTATGGTTTTACTGACTAAGCACTTACTATAGCTGCGCTGACTTGGTTGCCGCGATTCCTACCTACCGTGCTACTCATGCGTCTGCCCATTAACCTAACGCGTAGCTAAACGCTTTAAAGTTATTTAAGGAAAGATCTTAACCAAAACGAAGACTAGGGTGGAGAGTGTCTTCTCACTCACATTGAAAGGAAAATAAAATGATTGTCTACCTCATCCTTTGCAATAAGTGCCTTTGATGAAAGTAATGAAACGGGTGTGGCATTTCTCGACCTTGAGAAATAATTTACATCATTTGTTTGTCGAATATTTTGGATATTTAGTAGACTGTAAAAAGTTAATCGTTTATTTTCAATTTATTGGCTTAAAGAAAAAAGTTTGTCGCATTTTGTTAGCAAAATGCAGGCAAGTGTTTTGCATTCTTATATCATTCTTAAATATGGGCTATTGCGATCGAGAAACTCTGCCATAACTGTAGATTCTCTGGGATTTTCAGGCGAAAAACTGAATCTGAATGATTATAAGATATCAAGTCGGCTTTATACCCTTGAAAGAGTTTTGAATTAATTGAAACAAATAGTAGTCGACCTACTAATCTCTCTCTCTCTCTCTCTCTCTCTCTCACTTTCCTAATTTTTGTCGAGTCATTAAGGATTAATGGGGTCTGACATCCGTAATGAAAGGTAAAGTCTTTGTACTTTGCATCATTTTAATCGCTTCAATTCCTGGCCGTAGAGAGTGGCATTAATTCCGTTGTCACGTATGAAAAATTTATCTTTCGCTCTTGTATTCAGTTGCTTGGCAAAAACCGCTACATATAAAGACGAAAGCTAACTTTTACCTACGCCGTTACCCCTTCTAAAGAGGAAGAGTTCACGATTCCTTTTCCACCGAAAAAAAGCATTATCTTAAGTGAAATTAGTTCGAGTTTTGTCATCGTTTTGGCGGCTTTATTCGTCTTCGCCCACGAGCTTATCGCACTTCTTTGCCTGTCACTACACTCTACAAGATGACTCGATCGTGTTTCATTTCAACAACATCAAGATTCTTAGCATAGCGGAAATTCATTCCATTAAATTTCTTACTAAGCATTCCTTTCCCAGCCAGGCAACGTGTTTCCGTATGCTAATGATATGAAACTGGTGGATAGTGACGTAGCTGAAAGTTGGTTTTCGTTCTCCTTTTCAGCGATTTAGCAAACACAGTACCGATTAGTTGCTTTTTCTTCTTTGGTTAAAATTTAGTATTACAGCCATATCGAAAAATACAACGTCCCGATCTTCTTCAATTTTAGAGAGGAATTGCATTAATTTTATAAATGAGGGGAAAAGCAAGGGCGAATCCATTCATGCGTGCCTCCTATTTTTATGAGGCATCCTTCACAATAAGAACCCAGAGAGATAAAGTGAGGTCATGAACAATAGCGAGTTCACATATATATGACACAGGGTTCCTGTGAACTATGTGTTCTACGAATTTTCTCCTTCTACACGCGTTATAGAATAGCTTGATAGAATTACGCAACTGTAGACGTCTGCATTGGAAAAGTCATCACGAACTTTTCCCTCGACTTCTGGATTTAGAGTATATGCAATACGTTTTGTACTCGCTCTTGTACATTTTTTTTCACATATATGAAATTCTTTAAAAAACCACAATACATTAGGAAGGTGTGCCCCGTATAAATAAGTTAACGATAAAGGTGTGCCATACGTGTATACGTGTGCATATTGTGTGGAATTGAAATTAATCCAAAGCAGAAGCAGAAGTGCGTGCAAATGGCAATTTTCTCTAGTGTCTGACGCGAAAAAACGAATTTAGGTTAAAGGATACATTTCGAAAGACACAAAACAAATCTAAAAATTATGAACTTTATTCAGCCAGCGAATGGCTGACAGAAATTTTTTATTTACAAATACTTGAGCGTATACTAAATAAATATTGATTTCATTTCAACCATTTTGTGAATATATTCGCGTACAACGCGAACATAAACAGATTGTCATCAATCTTTTATTATGTTTTGATTGTTGTTGTTGCTTTACATATATATATATATACATATATAAATGTACATATAAATCGTATATATCCGCGAATGTATGAATTTATTTGCAGCAACCATACCAAAATGTGGAGGATGTCACGAGCTGATATTGGATCGTTTTATATTAAAAGTGTTGGAAAGGACGTGGCATGCGAAATGTTTGCAATGCAGCGAATGTCATGCTCAGTTAAATGACAAATGTTTCGCCCGCAACGGACAATTATTTTGTAAGGATGATTTTTTTAAGTAAGTAAATTTCTCGAAAATAAATTTATCGTAGAGTGCTGTAGCATTTTGTTGACACTGTAATTAATAATAAACACTGTTGGTCATTTTGCCAATGTTTGGGTCTTCTAATAGGCGTTACGGAACGAAATGTTCCGCTTGTGATATGGGTATACCGCCGACTCAAGTGGTAAGGCGTGCACAAGACAACGTCTATCACTTGCAATGTTTCCTATGTGCCATATGTTCTCGTACCCTGAATACCGGCGACGAATTCTACCTCATGGAAGATCGTAAATTAGTATGTAAAAGGGATTATGAAGAGGCTAAAGCTAAAGGTCAGTTTACCTAATAAGAAATTTTTTTTTGTTTTTTTTTTTTTTTTTAACTTAAATGAAATTTGATTTTATTTCAAATATTTAAGGCTTATACTTAGATGGTTCCTTAGATGGTGATCAACCAAATAAACGACCACGCACCACTATAACTGCTAAGCAATTGGAAACATTGAAAACCGCTTACAATAACAGTCCGAAACCTGCGCGTCATGTACGGGAACAACTGTCACAAGATACCGGTTTAGATATGAGAGTTGTACAAGTCTGGTTTCAAAATAGGTAAGTTCAGGATATATGCAAACGCAAATAGCTGAAGCGCAAGAGCATTTGAATTCAGATAATTTATATGCAATTTTAGAAGAGCGAAAGAAAAACGACTGAAAAAGGACGCTGGTCGCACACGTTGGAGTCAATATTTTAGAACGATGAAAGGCAATTGTTCGCCACGAACTGAGAAATTCCTAGATAAAGATGACCTGAAAGTCGATTACGACAGTTTTAGTCATCATGGTAAGCTAAGATTTAAATTTGAAAAGAAAATTCTTCAATTACATTGATTACATTAATGTTTTCGTTGCATTCGTTTTTTTTTTGTTTTTTTTTTTTGCCTACAGATCTTAGTAACGATAGTTACAGTACGGTCAATTTAGCTTTGGATGAGGGAGCTTCACCTCACAGCCTGCGGGGTTCATATATGCACGGTAGTTCAAGTCCTTCGCAATATCCCACTAGCCGTTCGCCGCCTCCAGCTGGACAAAATCATTCATTCGGCTCATATCCCGACAACATTGTGTACACGAATGTCGGTATGTGTATAAAGTGAAATTATAGAAAGACTTGTAAATAAAAAAAATTATATATATATATATATATATTTATTCATAACATGTAAACTTCAGAGCACAATTCTTCAACGAATCTGCACGGTTCGAAATCATCATCCCAACGTTTGCATAGCGGCAGTGCCGTTTCCGATATGAGTAATGATTCCAGTCCCGATCAAGGTTATCCCGATTTTCCACCCAGTCCCGATTCATGGCTAGGCGATGCGGGGAATAACACCTCTAATCCTAATCCCTCAACACCTGGTGGAGTACATTACTGATACTCAAATATTTTATTTAGATATTTTCAAATGCAAACACACAATTTACTAATGGCTTCAACTGCTCCCGGTGCTTGCTCAGCACTCTTAAAGGAGACCAGTATACCTGCACATCAGAAAAAGAAATCAAAAGCACAAATACAAAAATCATAACACAGCTAATTTTAAATAAAATTTAATGTCTAACCCTTGACTCTGTTTCTTAACATTTCTTCAACATTTATTTATAATTTTTCTTGAAAGAAATTTGAAAAATTCACGATAAAAAAAAAAGAAAAATAATCAAAAAAAAAAAAAAAGGAACCTACTAAACCCATATACTTGCTCAATTGTTCTTTGTTTTTTTTTTTTTTTTTCTTTCTTTTTTACTTTTATTTTTATTGTAAATACATTTTCACTTTATGTTGACGATGTAAGAAATAAAACAATTCAAAATTCCTAAAACATATAAATTTTAAATGGGAAAAATTTCTCCAAATCATTGTAAATATTGTACAAATTTTGTAAAGAACTAATTTTTTTTTTTGGTTTTTTTTTATTTTTTTTTTTTTTATTTAAGTAGTAGGAAAAAAATTGTAGTTCTTAATATTTAATAAAAGCAAGCGTTATTTATTCTATAAATAATAGAATAGGAGATAATGACAGGAAATGCAAAAATAAAAACGAAGAAGAAGAAGACGAAGAGAAATAATTTAATGAATATATTCGCTTTATACAATTTAGTCAATATCGTAAAAATAAAAGTATATACAAAAAACAAAAAAAAAAAAAAAAAAAAAATAGAAGAAAGTCAAGCAGCTAAAAACCAGTGATGTGTAACCATGTTTATATATATATGTATTATATAAGTGCGTAATAGTGTATAACAGAGAAAAAAATGATAAAAATCAGAAAACAAAACCAACTAAATAAAAATTCAAAAAAAATTTAAATAAAATGAAAAATTGTTAAATATAAAACGTATACGCAAAGCATATTTATTAATCACAAATACTCACTTTCACAAACATTCATACTTAACTTGCTACCATCAGGGTAACAATCCCTTCAATCCTTTCACAACGGGTGCCATATGCTGTCGCGGATTCCGTTGAAATTTTCGGACAAACTTAGTAGACACAGAATGCGCGAAAACGATTGTAACTCATCGAATTCATGCTGCCCGTCTCAAGTCCAAAGTAGATATGCATCCTGCACGGCATGACTATCTAATCTAGTTGGATGTTTCGTGCGCAGCGATGTTGATGCTGTTTCATCGGCTTCGGAGATTTCCCATTTTTTCTCATTTTTTTCTTTATCATACCTGATCCACTCGTGATCACCCAAGATAGCACACAGGCTTGCATTTAATCGATTATTAAAGGAACTTTCAAAATACTTGCGGCAATCACTTGATGAACAGCACAGCATCAGGTTTACCCGTTTGCCTTAATTTTACCAATTTTGAATTAACAAAATCTATACTGTTGTTATGCTAGGATTGGCAAATGCATCCAACTTCAACACGTTGTTAAAAGCTATTCGGGCAAGGTTGAGATATCCTGTACCATTTCATCTAAATAGCAGCAGCGTCAGTGACCTATTGTTTTAAAGCGGTCTATGTGCGGCACAGGCGACGACTCTTTCAAAACAAGGTGTAGTTGCAATAGGGCTCGATTTTGGGCAAGCACACACCAGTGTACCATATATCCTCGCAATACCTAACAAATTACGATCTGTAAGTTGAATACAAGCCTACATGGACAGACATAACATGGACGGACGGGTGAAGCGATCGTTGTAAGAAGAGGTGAGTATATCTTAAGCCCTACTAGGTGTTACGCACATTCGCACAGTCTTAATATACCCTACATCACAAATGATATAGCGCATACACAACAACAATAATTTCCATATCATTAAGAACTTGATTTACATGCAAGTGGACACCAAAATTAGAAAAGGTGGACAGATTTTGTGAGCAAACAGTTTGACAAAGTTCGGGCATAATATAAATCGTGCCAATATGCGCTATAAAGCAATGAAGCTTTTTTTTAATTCATATTTATACACAACCCAAAGGGCAAGTGAGCGCCATATTCCAGATATTTATATCACTTGCAAGGTGCAAGGGCATATTAAGTTTACGCAAATGTATGCTGCACCCAGAAGGACTTGAGATGGACCCAACTTTTATTACAACAATTGATTCAGAGTCACTTTCTGAACCGACCTTGCTCGTCCGTCCGTCTTTTTTTTTCTTGTGTATAACTTATAGATGGCAATTTTCCAAATATGTTGATGAAATTTGATGCAACGATATTTTTTGGCTCAAGGATGAAGGCGAATGAAAATGGTTCAAATCCAAACACTTTTCGGACCCATAACGCTGACCATAACGCTTTCCTTTGAAAAGCCGTTACACGAATGGTCGCCTATGTCATACTATAGCGTATTTACTTCTAGTGTTTTTTTCTAATCTATTTACGAAAGATCAATCCACGTATTGAAGCACATGTTTATGCAGATATTAAAGCTTTTAAATATATATTTTTTTAATAATAATTTGAATATTAAATAACGGCGCAGTTCGAGCGTTTTTTCCCCTGAAAAAAGATATTCTTGAGTGTATTCGATGATTTTGCGCGCGAAATAAGAATTAAAAAAGTTATTTATTTTATTTGTGATTTTGTAAAACTCATTAGCCATAATTCGCTATATTTAACAAAAGCATACGTTCATCTAAGCTTTCACGTAATTACTATAATAATTGCATAAATTGCTTAATGCTTTGCAATAAATGTAATGAAATCATTTTGTCTTCTAAATTCCCTAAAATACTTAATTTAACGTTTCTCTTAATTGATAATTGATTACAAATGTTAGGATTAAAAGTATTGACGAATCATTTCGAAAAAAAAATCACAATTTGTTGAAAAAAACTATGACAAAAATCATTAATAAGTTGAAACATAGAATAAAATTAATCATAAACGATATATTAAAGTGACCAGATCTGTTCGATTTTGTAATAAACAAATACTGAGTATATTTCAAATTCGTATACTCTACCTCGCTTATATGTATTAGGCTTATGCGGCAACCAGAAGGAGTTAAGATTGATCCATTTTCACTTTCTAAATCATTTTCTGAATCGGTATAAACTTGTTTATCCGTCCGTCCGTCTTGTTATCTTATGTTCAACCTAAAAGTTGCAATTTTTGAGACTGCCCAAGGTCAA